ATAATTTATATAACATTTGGAAAAAATACTATAATATCTAGTTATACTTTCAAAAAAGTACAGAATGTTGGTTTTAATATTTAATACTTAAAATTTTAAAAATTCAATAAGATTTATGTGTATATATACTTTTATTTATTTATTTAGCTTTGTTTTAAATTTATATATGTATTTATGTGTTTATTTATTTAGCAATTAATGTAATGAATTGGAAAATACTTAAGTATGGTCAAATCTTTAAAAATTATACTAGCTTTACCAATTTATATGAATGAAGGTTTAACTTTAAAACCTTTAACTCAAACTATTTGTATTAGACTGCAATGTAGAAGAACATGTATATATGAATATTTAATGAATTGATCAATATATATATATATATATATATATGACCACCAAAACACAGTATTGATGATATTAACAAACAACCTTATAAAATATGTTATATAAATTCGTAACTTTCTTCTAATGTAAACTTAATTACAATAAAAGATGGAGCAAATACTGGGAATGTTCATCCATTAGAATATCTCATTAATTGAAGCATGATGGATTACCTTAATAATAATTAGAACTCAAAGTAAAATGCTTTATCATGCTCTTAAAAATATTCTTCTACATTAAGGTCTTTACAAGGATTCTTGCTTGGTTGTCACAAGATTAATACATTGTATTATTTAAACAAGATATTAATAGAAACCCAAACTAATTTTCTGACACAAATTTCATTGTCTCCATTGTCAACAATTTTTGAAAATAAATTCTAACTATAAAAATTTCAATAAAACAAGCATATGCAAAATCCACTAATAAAATTTAAAGAAAAACTAATTCCAGATGTAGGTAACCTTTGAACTTCAATTTTCAGTCATGGTTCCATCTTAATGTAGGTTTCTAAGGTGCACTGAAGCTATTAAACACAATAATATTCAAAACGAAAAATGGTGTGAATATGCATTATCCTGAATCCCACTAAATATATGTTTCCAATACTATGTGTGTACTTATATATATATATATATATACATCCATGCATACACAGTACTGAAGGTAAACGAAAAAGGCACTGTCCAGTAGTGGCATTTGGCCAAAATAAATAATGCAATCTGGAGACTTTCAAAATGTATGTTTGTACAAATTTCATTTCAAAAAGTGCTTTGTCACAGCATTGCAGTGGGACGATGGAAGCCTCCAAAAGTCCCATTTTAGTGGGCTTATCCACACCCTTTGCTTGGCTTGGCTTCCAGCCATTGTGGGTTTGTTTGGATCCTTCTTCATTAACAAAGAACTGACTGAAAGGCTTTTGTTTTACCAATGTCTGAATGAGAATCTATGGCTAGTCTTTAATTGAGACTGCAGTGGTCTTGAACATAATTGAACTCGACCCTATTTTTGTCTCTTGATTCTAACACACTTACATTTTTCTTTGTGTTATGCTTTTACTAAATAAGTTGGTGAACCGCATGAAATAATATTAAATATCACACATATGGCATTTGTTTTCAAATGCTACTTTTTCAAATCTAGATGGTTAAATTGATCACCTTGTGTCATACTTTGCATGGCTTTTTGTAGTTGTTTCTCATTGTTGTTAGTCTAATTGTGATAAAAATGTTTTTAACAAAGTGTTAAAAAAATTCTTTGAAATTTATATATGTTTTTTTATTTGTTTATTGTTCACATGCAGAAAATGGTGAGCTAAATTTGTTTGAGTGAAACTTTCATGTGGATAGGTGGTAAAGTGCATCATCAAGTTGACTTTCTTTTCTTTTCTTTCTTCACACATGAAATAGTCTTTCTACAAAGCATGTAAATTTCATTCAATGAATGGCAGTAAGCCCGCTCTGCAGTGCAACATAAGTGGTATATCAAAGTTGACAAAAAAGAAAGAAAGAAAGAAAGAAAACATTTTGAATTAATAAAGTACAAAAAAAAAAAAAAAACCAATCACAAAACAGTTGTTGAATTGATTTTTGAGTATAATGAGATATCAGGAGCCTTCATTCAATATTGTCAATCATTTCCATAGAAAACAATATGTTCAACATGACAAATATAAGTAGTTTGTTTCACATGTGTTGTTATTCAACAGTGCCTAGCCAAATGTTTGCTATGGTCAATGTGCCAAAATAGAGTCTTAAAAATGTTTTCTCTTTTTGAGGTCGAATTCTTAAATTTATAATTATGTTTGTATTTCTTCAATCAATTTAAGCATAAGTTAACGGCTAGTTTCTACTCTATATATATATATATATATACATATGAGATTGCCCCCAACCAATAAATTGCAATTTAACACTAGGATTGTTAAATTCATGTTCTTGATTGGTTACTTGCTATCTCTCACAAGTAAGTGAAGGAACTATAATAGAAGCTCAAAAACAAGCTAAATCAAGCATTGTTATTTGAATATACTTCAATCTATATTCAAACTGAATAGGCGAATGGCATAGGTAATGAAAAGATAATAATAATAATAATAATAATAAGAAAAAAAGAAAAAAAGAAAAAAGACTTGAAATGCATACTTTAAGCAAATATACATATACATATATAAACACGTTTGATCATTCTTACATATATATATATATATATATGTGTGTGTGTGTGTGTGTGTGTGCATTTATTGTTTTTTCCATTTGTGTATTTTATTCTGTAAACAACCTTTTTTTCTTATGATATTTTTATTTAATGTAACGGTTGTGCTAACTTCCCAAATTATCTAAATAACACAATTCTATGGCTTTCCTTTTATTTGGACATTTGACAACTTAACTTGTGTGATGAGATAAAAATTCTAAGAAAAATTGATCATTGAATTATTCTTTTCAGTTGATTAATAAAATTTTAATATGCTGGAAATTTCTTGAATCCCTTGATTTTTAATATAAAAAATAAATGTATAAAGTTAGTTATGATTTTATGATAAAAATACCTTATTTTAAAATGTTTCAAATATGATTTTTTTTTCTTTGCTCCTTTCCACATAAGGAAACATCGAGATGGACAAAGAGTATTCACAACTTTGAAGACAAAAGATCATACACAAGTCAATTAAAGAAAATCAATACATGTAGAACCCAGTGTGATATGCTTTTGGATTGTATTCAAAATTGGATAACAACCAGGTTCTAAAAACAAAGCTCATTTCTTACTATTCCATCATTCCTATTAAAATTTTAACAATAACAAATAATTGGAAACACTCTCCCATCTCAGAAGCCATGAACAACCTTGATGGAACTAAACTATACTAGACTCATGTGATAACACCAACATTTGCCCACTAATTTAAAATGGATTAGTTGAATGCTGCCATAGATTTGCTGTTAAACATGATAAATAACCCAACAATTGGCACAGCAATTTTAAGTAACTCTCGGTTAACATTCATAAGCTCCATGATGTTCCCACTCAGATATATTTAAGGGGAAGAGAGTATTCCCAATTTGATTAACTAAACCTCAAATTAATCAAAGAATCTATCCCAAACACCCTCGCACACGTGCACACAGACCATTAATACCTAAAAAGGAGTTCTCCACACCTTTTATTTTTTCATCCATCAAAAAAAAGCATATATATATATATATATATATACACACACATTTATCTAGTATGGGATTGGCTCGATTAGTGAGGATGAATCTCGGAAGCGAGGACAATGTTGATGTTCCTAATTTAATTTGGGTATTAACAACTGGTTATGAAATACCACGTGTCACACACCGATAGGTCCATAACCTTTTGCAGCATGGGTGTGGTAAATTCATATTTCATCCATGATAACAACATTCCACATTCATCCAAGATGGATGTATGAATAGTGTTTCTATCAACAATTGGGAGGTTCTGGGTGGTGGATCCTATTAATTATGTTAAAGAGCACACTTCAGAATTTCAGTGATTGTAGAATTAACTCTTATTTATTCAAAATTATATCATAAAATTTATAGTTGCACTTAAAAAATTATTTGACTTTGAATGATAGGTAGCATGCCCTCGACAAAACACACCTATTATTGCAGCAAACGCAAAAAGCAGAAGTACGTTATGAAAGTAAAAGACCCCTAAAACGAGCTCGAAAAAGTCAAGTTTTCTGTCTCAAGTGAGTTAATGCGACGTGGTATGAACTTTTTTGAGCTACCTTAGTTGAAGCCACCTTTGAATTTTCTGATGTACCATACGGTGAGGATAACTTTTTAAAATAATAAAAGGGGGCTTGTCCTACTTATCGACTGATCAAAACCTAGGTGGGTATCCAATTGCTCCATTATGTACATATTTCAGCATAAGTAAAAGGGGTAAAAAGGAAAACTGGAATCAACCTTTCACTTTATCCTCACCCCACTTGTTCATGTCATTTCCTATCAGCTTCATTGTACAAAAAAGTGAAAGTCGGAAAGAGCGGCACGATGAAAAAGAAGAGCATCTCCTCCCGCAGGCCACAGATAAGATATGTATTGTTAAATAGATATCTACAGTATTGCAACCCAGTTCATGGGATTACTAAATCGGGCAAACACATCTTTAACAGTTTTAAGAAGGCGATGTAAGCCTTACACCGAGGGGAAAGAAAATATCTTTTTGGAAAAGGAAAAGGAAGGGAACATTAGCGTGCAATAAATAAAGGGGAAAAAGAGAGACGGAATGGAAAACACTGGAATTATTAAGAGGAATGGGGGACACATTATGCCAGGATTCGGGCTAGCGGGATGGGGGAACAGCGGGGATAGGGGGGGGTATGTGAGGCTGCGGTTCTGACATACACTAGGATTGCGGGTGGCCGTCGCGAGAGGCATTCTGTTTCGTCGTCGTCGCAGCCTCGCCCACTAATTTTAGCCCCACCAGGCTGGATGATGGAGTCGGGATCTCATGCCGGTGTCGTTACTTTTGCCGTGACAGGGCTCCGCGTCGGGGGATGGTGTCAGAGCCGTTCATGCACTGTCTTTGTTGGCTTTCGGGGGCGGGGGTGATATAAGCAGCGGAAGCTCTCGCCCACCGAGTTTATTTTCCAGTCCCCGACGCGAGCTTGCGACCGAGTGAGGGTAGCGATAGCTGTCGTCTCGGCAACGCGTGGGCCTGCCGCTGGCCAGGACGTCGCCACATTATTCGTTGGCGTTCTGACTGTCGAGGACACCAGTAGTTGGGAGATTCCGTGAGGTGTGAGATCAGTGTTGTTTGGTCGAGTGCCACTCGAGTGCTATTGCTTGATGGTAACAGTTGCGCGCTCGGGATAGTTTGCTGGCGCTGGTTGTGGTGCTGTCTGTGAGCTGCTGCGTCGAGTCGTAGCATTGATTAGAGTGAATGACAGTGCTAGTGTTTGAACCACGCGGCATTGTGTACTTGAATGAGACACGCTGCGTATTCCGTGTTGAGGTTGACCCTATGGTAGAGTTAGGGGGTGCGGGCGGGTGGCGTTCTTGAGCGGCACTGGACTTGTTGAAGAATGCGTTGAGGTCTCTGCGCCTCGTTAGCGCTGGACATTCTATTTCTGTTGGATAGTTCCGGAGCGAACTGAGACTTTTCGAGAAGGATTGTTCTTTCTAGAGTGTTCGTGGTGTTTCTCATCCCAGATTAAGCGTTCACAGGGGAAGTCATTTTGATCTCCAGAGGTTTTGTAGAGATGTCCATGCGCCACAGGGCAACACAGTGCCTGGGGAAGATCTCCGACAAACCGCGAAGCCGTGCATCCAATCCTGCAAGCCCACTATGGCCGGGATATCATGTTCGGTCTCATGAGCATGAAGTAAGTCAACCCAGCAGTCCTGCTCCGTCTGTTGCATCTGAGAGGCTCTCTCGATCCCGAGAGACGGTCAAGGCATGGCTGGAATCCAGCCCAACGTCTGTGCTGGGCGATCACCTTGTAGTCGGGAGTCGCACTTCCTCTTCACATTCTCACGTATCCTCGCCAGGCCGACCGGAGTGCCGAGCCTGCTCATCTCCTTTCGACCGTTCTCGCTCGAACAACATCTTGCCTAGGGTAAGCTGCACATTTCTCTTGTACCGATTTCGACATTTCCCTCAGTGGGAGAGCGTTTTTTTCGAACCTCTCGAATTCGGTCGCCTGTCTGATCCTTCCGTAATAGTTTTGGTGTTGACTTCCGTCTGTTCGGAAAAGATAGACTAGAGAGAGTGATACTGACACTTGCTGTTCAACTCCGCCGTCGCAGGCAAGAGCCATATCTCCTCCCAAGTGTCCGGCGAGTAGAAATCCACAAGAACTGTCAAGAATCGATACTGGACGTTATAGTGGTGGTAGCTTCCTCATGCTCGCTTTCAAGAATTCTCAACGTACTCAGTCTGACCTCCCCCTCATCAGTTTAGGACGTGCGGCGTTTCCTGTATGTATGTTCATCTTTCGGGAATGCGTCACTTGCCGCGTACTGAATCATCACTGGGGTTATGTCAACGTTTTGCAGGACATGGGTCGACAACTCCTCCTACATTTCAGCACTCAGGAGCTTTTAGGGATGATCACCTTCATAGTTTCACTCCGGAAGAATGCAGCTCTCCGGGGAGCGAGTTTAGCTTGACTTCCGAATGGCACAACATGGTGGCTGCTGGGAACGCTGCAGGCATGAGCACACGCAATTCGTCGTCGAACACTTCGGATTTCGAAATTTCGTATGAAGGTTTGAGTGGATCCCGTGTTAACCTGAGTACCGCTACTTCCATGTCTCGCGCCCATCCGCATGGGGCACGGAACACATCTCGAACTCAGTCAATGGAACTCCCACGGCTAGTGCGTTCAAATGAACTCTCTGGAAGTGGCCAGTTGAAAAATGACAAGTACACGGTTAACCACCAATCAGCTCCTCACAGTGCTGACCTGAAGAGGACATATACTCGTCAGTCATCTGTAAATTACGGTAAAAGCCTCTGCTATATCATGCTCTGTTGGTACTGATCCTGTGCGATGATTGTTTGATTGTGTTCATCGGTCTTACGACCTGTGGTTCAAATGTCGCAGATATCAGTGATCTTCATAGAATGTCGAGGGGGGACGCTGCTTCTATGCGAGAAGCGTTTGGGCATGTTCCCAAGCAGAAAGTGCACAGTTCCTCTGATTCGAAGTTCACCAGTCGGTGCGTTTATCTATTTTATGTGCATATACACACATTCTCATGTGTTGATCTGTCCACAATGAGCGTATGATCTTTCACCAGAAGACTGCCGTAACTGGTTCTTTTTGTTTCTGCATGCTTAAGGTATTCCCTCAAGGTCTACTTTTGGTTTGCAGATTTGACAAGGAGGAAAGGGAACTGCAGTCCTTGGAAGAGCAACAACGAGCGAAAACGGCTGCCGCACTGAAGCAAGTCGAGGTGTGTGCACTGCTTCCTTTTCTTCAGTTTGAGTTTGCGCATTCGCTCTCCTTGTCATTTCGTGTAGAAGTATGTGGCTATGCTAGTTTTTATTAAGTTGTTCTTCTCTTCCATTACAGTTGAAGTTGGAGCTCGAGCGTGCCCGCCTGATTGAGAAAATGAATAACGAATTGGCAATGGCACGTCGGAAGGTGGAGGAGAAGAAGGCCAGATCAGCCATTGATACCAAGATCATGAGACGTCCCGCGAAAAGTCCTCGCGGCTGCCTTTTCCTCGGCTGAAGTTCATCGTTCTACCTCAACCATGAGACTCCGAAATCCTCCTCAACATTACTGGCACCGAGTTCCACTTCTACAGTTTTGGTTTTTCTAGCAGACAATTAACATGTGTCGATGACGTGATATTTTCACGAGTGTACAATGTGCAAGGTTCATCTAAGCGCACCCGGAGGCGATCAGTGTCTTCAGAGGTGTCAGAAACATATCATTCAAGATTCTGGACAGCATCCACAGGAATTTGTATAGTAAAGCCGATGACACCTGTTTCAGAAAGTTTTGATGCATAGCCTTACATCATCATTGTAGGCGAATTAGTCGCGGTCCCATTTCAGAGGTCAACAGTGGATCAAATTGATCCCACATATTCTTCAAGGTTTTTGTTAGTCTGCCTTTGTTGGAGTCCGAGAAGCAAGTGGATTCGAGTAATCGACGTTCTGCAATCATCATTCTTGGCGATCGATAACTGTTCGCTTCAAATTTGTACTTTGAATTCTGCAACTAATAATACGCGCAAGAGATTTTGCAAATAAAATCACTTGGAATTGTATCTTGGATTTACCACGATGCTTCATTTTCTTTCCTGAAAATCGACTTTTACATGCGTTCTAATCCGGAATAATTGGAAGTTCTTCGCCTTCTCTCCACATGTATGCATCATCCTCAGCACTTTTTCTCCGCAGGATTCGACGAAATGGACACTAAATTCCATATTTTGAGATATTACCGAACCTACAACTTCAGAGCTGTTTTCATTCCAAATGTGCAAACATAACTTGGAGATAAGTGATGGTACGCTTTTCAGAATCGCTCCACTCAGAAGGCCCCGTCACAAGTGTGGAAAGCAGTGAAATTATTAGCTTTTCAACGTATAAACACAACTCACACTATCCTACACAATACAACAGCAATCCATCCTCGATTCCTACTGGATTTGACGACCCCTAAAGTGAAGTCGCAACCATTCTCAAATGGGTCCTCACGGTGACATCGCCACCATCTGCAAAGACTCACGATGCTATTTTTCATTCTCGCACATGTCATATTAGTCATGAAATCTCGTGCTTCACAAGAAAAAAAACACACAAAGCAATAAGGAGCTTCACATGCTCACTGCCGAGTCACCCATGAACTTAGTAGTGATACCCAGTGAAAAACATGCTCTGAAACCCCCCACCATTGAAACCATCCCCATGCAACGGAGGAGGGAATGACGCAAAAACAGGCAAGTGACGTCTGGAAGGAGGAACGGCTACCTCAACCCAACCCGAAGAGCCAACCCGGTAGAGAGATCTCACACACACACACACCACTGTCTGCATTCTCACTCCCTGTGAAACATCCTAAAGTTAACCCCCCCTCCCGAAAAGTCTCATTGTAAGGATTATCACTGGCAACGGAGGGATGCTCCTCGACGAACCAGAAATAGCACGTCAACCCCCCCTTGATTCGGCATGAAACAACGTTGGACGTAAGCCAAATTTGAATTTGAACTCGAATCATTCACATCGACCCGATGATCACGAGGCGCTGCCTTGGTTTCACCGTGGAAGTGTTGGTGAGCGACCCAGTGAAGGAAGAGGAGGAGGACTGCATGGGAGGGATCTATGGGGGCGGGGGGGTCAAGTGGGTTCAAGCCCACTGCAATGCAAGTTTGGCTCTTGGCCACACTTTTTCCTTCGCAGAAAAGGGGAGTTCGGGGATATATGGGAATGAATACCCTTCCGGGCTCAGATGGGCAACTTGTCCTTTGCTTGCAGAATTGATTTGATTGATTACCGTTGGGATGACATGAAATTGCAGTACGATGCTGCAGGGTTTGAAATATTGATACCGGGCTTTTATATCATGTCCGTTCATACGTATACACACACAAAGTGTTGCAAAAGCATGGTTGGATTGTGGGTTTGGCCCACTAACTTTGAGCTCCTCCTCCTTCATGGTCCTTCCACCTGTTCACATTTGATCCCTGCATGTCCTATGCGTCAAAAAACAGGGTTTCTTGGTGTTTTGTTTCAACTTTTGGTTGATTCGAGGCAATTGTTTATTATTATTATTTCTTTTTTTGTTGTTGTTGTTTTTTGGTTGATGCATGACCCTACTTTGCTAAAATATGTAACAATTAATAAATAAAAAGGATATATATATATATATATATATATACCTAATCTAACTTAATAAAACTTGAGATTGGAATCTTACAAAATGAATAATTTTACTTTTAGTTCAAATCTTTGTTATGGCTTTTTAACTTTTAAAACAAAATTTGAACAACAATGATTAGCTCTTTCATATTTTTTCAAAGTATCAATCTTTTAAAAGGATTTTTAAAAATTATAATAAATAATTTGTAATATACATAGTAAATGTAATAAATGGCCTTTATAGCCACATTGATTGAAGTTGCTTTTGATAATAAATAAAAAATGAAAAATAAATAGAGAAGAGCAAGAAGAAGAAGAAGAAGAAGAAGAAGAAAGAATGGAAAAAAGAAAATTTATACATGATTTAAAAAATATATTTTTGAAAACTCACAGTTTTATTTGTAAGCATGCATTATCAAATTGAAGTAAATACTTGAATTTTTAAATTTTTTGTTAAAATATCTTCAGTAAGGTATATATTTTTTGAATTGTATAATACTGTATTTTAAACATGGTTTTTTTAGATCTTATAAATCTTGTTTATAAAGTGGTGGTGGGGAGTTATTTTTTGAATAGGAAATCATTACTGACAATTGTAAATTAAATTTAAACAGATATGTTTTTAAAATTATATATCTGGTTAGAAACATGTATATGTGTATATATATATATATATATATATATATGTGTGTGTGTGTATATATTCTATTCTTTTGTATACATATACGTGTATATATTCTATTCTGATATATATATAAGTAAAAGCAGAACATTAAACTTTTCTTTCTAAATTTTATTGAAAAATTTATAAGGTACTCTAAAAATTGTATGATGTTTTGGAGACTTGAGGTTACATGATCATTCTTTTGACATCCTTGCAGAACCCATTTACTCTTTTATTCAGTTGACTGGTTAGAGCTTGGATTGAATACCTTCTAAACAACGAAATAACTGCCATTTATCTGCAGTGTTCTGAATCCTCAGTCATTTTTCTTCAAGACCTGCAGAACACTTTTATTTATCCTCTGACTTATGGATAATCTCTCTCTCGCTCTCGCTATATATATATATATATATATTTATATCTATATAAATAAATGCGGATATAGGAATCTCTTTCCTGAATACTGTAATCCCATCTACGCTGGATTTGGGAATCGTGAGACTGATAAAATCAGTTATCTCAAAGTTGTATTCCCAAAAGCTAATTTTTTATTATTAATATTATTTTATTAGATTTACTTAATGACACTTATGTCTCAAATCTGACTGCTGATTCTGTGAAATCATAACTCTCCACTCGTTGTGTAATTGTTCACATTTACACAATCTGCGTATGGATTCAAATCAAGACAAAATATTTTATGAATCTACTGTGCGAATGGTTTTGGATCTAAGAGGTGGAGAGTATTGAATTTTACAACAGATCGACTAAATCAAGATACACCTAGTATCATAAATTACATGTCAGTTGCTTCTCCAAGTATATGTATTAATCACCAAACTAGCAAGCAATATTGGCCATGAATTGTCTTTAGCGTATAGATAAAAGCTTTGGAAATAATCGATCACCTCTGGATAGTGTTTCTGAAGTACAACTGACAAAGCAAGATTTTTAGTTGAATCAGTTTTTTGTACCCAACTGTCAGTTACTTGAAGTCAAACATAGCACAAGTGGAGAGGTTTTTTTTATTGAACAAGCACAGATACATGAATAGATGCAGAGAAAATCCATGTCATAATTCCACACGAAGGTTTCAATGCAAGAACTGTATACTACGTGTTCACTCTTAAAGCACCGAGTCAATTCTGCACATAACATGGCACCAGGAAGTTTGCCTTCTACGTGCATATCTTAAGACAGTACCTTTTTTCAATATAACTGGAGACCAACTTTCACCTGAAAAGTTTCCATTCTCGTTTGCCAGCTCTATTTGAAGATTTTCTTCTAGATTTGGCATAATGCTCTGAGCAACCAAGACTGTTTTCACAAAAACTTACAGAAGATATCAATTTCCTACATTGAGGTCAGTATTTCGCGCTTCTACAATACAGAGATGCTTCAGCAAGAAACCTTTTTGCCGCTTAAGTACGTTGCGCCCATAAGCTCCACAAATCAAAGATGATTTTTTTCCTCCCGGAATCATCGACACGATCACACGAGCTCGTTGTTGGAAGCAAAAATAAGAAAAGTTGGACTATTCTGTATCAGCTATATATATATGTGTGTGTGTGGAGGCGCAGAAGATGTCCCTGTTGTTCACTTCCATAGGCTTGGTGTTCGCTTCCTTCCGCAGCTCATAGAGACGAGGATCGAACACGGTGGTGGTGTTCAGGGGGAGGATCGAATGCCACAAATTAATCAAATTAAACCTGGCTTGTGAAAAAACATAATTGCAGTTGACCTTCACTTACAGCTATTGACTTTTGAGATTATCTGTTCGTTCCAGATCACCACCTGAGGATGTCTTGAGAAAGTGAAGAATTAATTGGAATTATATCCCCAAGTTAGTTGGATTATACTTGAAATAAGCTGCTTTTGAGGTTCTTTTCATCTGAAGATGAACCAAAAGGCTATTTAATCGGCGATATCACAGCACCTGTAAAGTGTTTACCGTCAATGTGGCGGACGTTCTGGGAAGTACACAACACATCTGAGCTGGAAATAGGCACCGCGGCAGCAACTGTAACCATTGTATTCAGGTGAAGAATAGTCCTGCCGCTTGGTAAATAATTGGAAAAGCCAGCATTATTGACCACTAATAGATGTGCAGATGTCCAGATTAGACCATAGAAAACAACCTGTCCCCAAGGATGCAAGCTCGTGCCATGGTCTGTTCTTGAGGACTTCCTTCAATGCCTGAATCAGGCGCCGCAACAACGAGATCTTCTAAGACATTTATAGAAAAACACGCAGCTATTTCAATCCTCTCCGTCTGTGTCCTCAAAACAACTATAAGTCCTAAGCTGAAGTGAAAACAACAGTTTTCTAAGATAGCCCGCACGATTTCTCAATCACAGAGACACAATCAAAATCGTTCACGAGAAAAAAGGTCATCAACTCATTCCCTTGCTCACCCGCAACTTCCCCAAGCCTAAAGCGTAAACTCAACACATTCTTGTAATCTATTTCAAAACACGTATCACCAAGCCATGGTTCACCCCGACGCGGAGTATCAAAGCTCCTCCATAGCACCGAACACCAACATCAAACTACCATAAACATCATCCCTCAAACATTGAACAAACTTGCCAAAGCTACGCGACCCAGTTGGCAAAATTCATGCTCAAGACAAGGCAGAACAGGGCGAAAGGTGCAACGTAGGTCCTGGAAGCACGCTACTCGCAGCAAATAGTAATAGCACCAGTGCTCAGCTCCGCCCGGATCTCAATCCCATTGAACCTTTTCCACGCATT